AGAAAGCCGCAGTTCTTTTTAAATTATGTCCTGGATTACATGTTAGGTACGCTAAGTAATTACGACGCGCTGCATGACGCACGGACATTCGTTTATTAATGATGTTTATCTTGTCAGATATGATAACGTCAGGGAGAAACGCCGAGGATCATTCCTCTACCGTTATAGGCGTCTTCGGATGCCTGAGAGTGATTTTACCTTACATATGTAAACCCACAGAGCCCCAAGACGTCGAGACGCAGCAGACGGACAGCCTGTTACATATTTACGAATTGTGTTTGCACTATACGAAATGGCATTCCGATCACAATGTCGTAAATGCGGCTTTAGAGACCTTGGCGCAACTTCTGAAAGCGCCGCCAAAGCCACTGGTGTCCGTTTTACTGTCCTCGCGGGGCATAACGCAAAGTAGAATAATATTAAATCAAAATGCATGCATTCCCTCGCTGGGCCACATGAGCATCTCCAGCGCCAGTACCGCTTACGGCGGCAATTCGGATTCCATTTTGAACTTGCACGAGCCCGACATTCCGGAGATTACCCCGAACGCCGAGTGGATCGCCGATACGGAAACACTGTCGATCACGAGCAATACACAGACGCAGGACGAATGTACGAGCGATGCGACGGAGACGAAGGAGAAGATATTGGAGAATTATTGCAATTTGAAAATCGAAACCACCGACAGTAAGGGCGAGCATGTAAACTCGTAACTTGCGTTACGATCTTACATTTTATTAATTTTCATTGTTTTTTTTTAGATGATGTTACAGAAGAAGGCAGCGATATCGAAAGCGAGATGGAAAAGTCCGAGAAAACGCCGTATCCGAGCCTGCAAAATGAACGCTCGAAGGGGGACGATAATTCCGAGAACACTCTGTCGTTCGCTTCCCCGAAGAAATCCTCCCTGGATTTCGCGCTGTACGAGACTTACGTCGGCAGTTTCACGGACTCGGATATGCCCGTCAAGTTTTGCTGCCGTTACCTGGTGTCGTCCTTTCTGCTGGCGGGCAGGCCCGGGCAACTGATATCGGACAAGTTATTTCGCGTTAGCGTAAAGTCACTCGCACTGACATGCGTGGGTTACATTCTCAAACTTTATCCGCACTTGTTTACCACGACCGTGGCCAAAGAGCCAAGCTGCAATGAGACAAACCAATTGATTGCAGACATTTTGCTATTTGCCAATCAC